TGGTTATCTTATTTTTTGGATGTTTTGAGAAATAACTCGTATTGCATATTTTTCAGCTATCCAGGCAGAGTTGCTGAAAGTCAAACAGAAGATAAAGGCACAGAAAGATAAAGAGAAGGCAGTATATGCAAAAATGTTTGCTTAATAAGGATTCAGTTTTGCTTAAATACTATGTATTGATTGTATGAAGGCAATAAGAAAATGTAAGGGTTTTTGTCTATTATATATGATCCCTAATGTGTTTCTTTTGACACCTCAGTTCCCTGTTGTTTACAGTTTAAGAAGCACTGATGGGGGTTTGCTATTAATTAAAGTGTTTGAATACACTGAAGTTGGTTTTTAAAAAAATGGTTATGTGCATTATTTACAAAGAATAATGGTGTCTGGTCTGTTTTTAAACTCCTGAAGACACTTGTTGAATAAATAGATGAAAGCTTAAAAGTTTATATATTTGTATTGTTTCCCTCAATTCTTTGATGCATCTGTGGTTAGTTTGTGCTGGTGTTTTACACTTGTATATAATATGTATATACTTGTTCAGGGGTGGGCAGACCTTTTCTGCAAAGGTCCAGATAGTAAAAATTTTTAGGCTGTGCGGACCATGTAGTCTGTCACAACTACTCAACTCTGCAGTTGTAACTCAAATTTAGCCATAGACAATGTGTAAACAATGGGTATGGCTGTGTTTCAATAAAACTTTATTAGCAATACGTGGTGAGCTGGATACTGACCTCTGGTCTAGAGTATATGTTCATTTTTACACTTAAGACTTAAATTTGGCAAATCAAGTGTGTAATAAAGTCCAACAGTGCATTTTGCTGTTGGTACTGAATTTCTGAAGAACTGAAGAAGTAAGTGGATGCTATATCATTATTAAAGTTTTATTTAAGAGACATATTCATAATTTTTATGGGACAATTTTAGAAACAGTATAAAATTTTTATTTCTAATTATTTTGTGAACATTCTGATCAATAATATGCTGTAAGATATGCTGATACTTGTTAACCTCTAAACATTTTAATGTTAGCTTGCCATACTTTATTAAGGCACTGACTATCAAACATGCCTGCAAATGAAATTAGTTTCAGTTTACATTCCATTGTAAGCAGGTCCTCCTCCACCTTCGGGTACCACCCAGTTAATATTCTGACTTGGATCTTTAATATCACACGTTTTACAATGCACACAGTTCTGAGCATTTATCTGTAACCGAAATCCATCACCTTGTTCCAAAGGTACAAATTCATAAACTCCTGTAAAGTAAAAATAAATAATATTGAAGTCCCTAACTTAAAATTTTTAAATTCAGAAGTAGAAATTAAAGTCCTAGAAACAGTGGCTACAGAAACCTTGAAGGTTATTTTCTGAGTTTACTCGCAGAGAATATTACGAAGATATTGACATGTACTGTTGCTGTTAGTATAAATTACACGTCCATAATAAAAGAAGGTACAGTAGTATTTGGCTGAGTTAGTCTCACTAACAAGGGTACTCAGCACTCAGTCTTTGAGTCTCATCTACAGTAATCCCCGTTACCCACAGGGGACGTGTTCCAACCCCTCGTGGATGCTTGAAACCTTGGGTAATATCAATGCTATCAGCTGGAACATGTTTCTACTCATGTCTTCCACCCACAAATGCGATGCCGTGTCCATCTTAAGCAAGCACTTATCACACACTGTGGCTGTAACTTGCAGTTTGAGGTATGACAGCAAAACCATCATGAATTTTTTTTCCTCCTTCGCTATTTCCCAGATAGAAGATTTGTTCTTAGCAACCACAGTGTAGGATTTTTTTTTACTTTCCTTAAATTGAGAATTTTCACGTTTTTGCTTAAAGGAAGTGCTTTATGGCTTCTCTTTGGTATATCCGAATTGCTGGCATCATTTTCTTGTGTTTTGGGGCTATTATTAAGTAAAATAAGGTTTACTTGAACATAAGGCACTGTGATACCACCACAGTTGATCTGATAACCAAAGTGGCTACTAAGTGACTTAAGGGCAGGTAGCATCTATATAGCATGGATACTCCGGACAAAGGGATGATTTAAATCCAGGGTGGGATGGGGCAGGATGGTGCAAGCCATTATGCTACTCAGAATGGCATATGATTTAAAAGTTATGAATTGTTTATTTCTGGAATTTTCCACTTAACATTTTCAGACCATGGTTGACTGCAAGTAAAGAGGGACTACTGTATACATGCTATAGTTGAAAAAACATTAGATGCAGTCCTTACCCCCAGCGAATTTTAAAACCCACGATGATGAAAAAAAATGATTATTTTTAAAAAAGACAGTGAAGGTCCTTGCCCTTGAAGACCTTACTTACATTCTAGTCTTTCAAGAAAGTACTAATTTTCACATACCTGAATACCGTTTGTTCTACCACATCATTTGAGACCTGTTCCCTACTACTGTAATTTCAGTGGAAAACAACACTAAAAGATAATAGTATTCATGGTGAACTTAAAGTTTGGAACCATTTCCTTCGACTGAATGCATCCATAACCTATTTTAGCACATGCACCCACACACACACACATTATGAGCTGCCACAACAGAAATGACTTTAGAAAGTCACATGTACGTGCAAAGAGTTATTCCTTTGTGTTCCATAACCCATATCTTAGTCTGAGGGTAGGACCAGGAAAGGCTTTTTTTTGGAGAAATGTCATCCGAACTAGGCTTAATAAAAATTCTGTATTTTAACATTGCTGGTTAGAGTATGAGTTTCCTATAGGGAGCTTGATGTAGAGTCATTTATAATTTCCAAGCAATGGGAGGAGATAAATTATTTCTTAATGAAATCACATTTCTAAAATGTTTAAAGCAAATATTTATATTAATATTTAGGAATCCATGGAAGTTATTACTGACCTGCAGGACAGAATCGCTGTTCGGGCCCATCATATATTGATAGATTTCTATGTACAGGTATACTGTCATCCCTTAAGGTTAAATGTGCTGGCTGGTCATGTTCATGATTAGTACCACTCAGAGCCACAGAAGACAAGAGGTCAAAACTGATCTGTCCATCAGGTTTTGGATACTCAATAGGTGTGCAGTCTTTGGCTGCCTTGAGCTGATCAGAGTCAGAACCTTAAACAATTTTGAGGGAAAGATTTAATAAAACAGAATTTTGAAGTATTTTCTTACGCATATTCTTATAAAAACTTGAAAATATTATTGTACCAAAGAAATATGACTTTAGCCCTCTTAAAATAACAAGGCACTGTTCTCTTAAAGACATTGAATTTATAATTTCTGTACTTAATGTTTAAATTTAAGTTTGAAACATTAAAAGATCACTTTCTCCACTAATTAATGGATCCCACTTACGAATCTTTTTTTTTTTTTGAGACAGAGTCTCACTCTGTTGCCTGGGCTACAGTGCCGTGAGTCAGCCTAGCTCACAACAACCTCAAACTCCTGGGGCTCAAGCGATCCTCCTGCCTCAGCCTCCCAAGTAGCTGGGACTACACGCATGCGCCACCATGCCCGGCTAATTTTTTCTATATACTTTTAGTTGTCCAGCTAATTTCTATTTTTAGTACAGATGGGGTTTAACTCTTGCTCAGGCTGGTCTCAAACTCCTGAGCTCAAACGATCTACCCGCCTCAGCCTCCCAGAGTGCTAGGATTACAGGCGTGAGCCACCATGCCCAGCCTACTTATGAATCTTTAATGATTATAACATTCATATTCTGAAATATGTTTGAATTACCTTTATGTTTGAGAGTCCATGGCTCCATTCCTCTAAATATCCAGTAAAATATTCCAGTGTAAATCATCCCTCCGTACATACCCAGTATTCCGTGGCAGGATGGTCTTATGTTTCTAACAGCATATAGCTCTTTCCATACCCATGATTTCTTCAAATTGTCCTCATATTCTGTTATATGGAGTCCTTTTATCAAAAACATAAAATGTTAATGTGAACTTTCCTAAAGGTACACATAAAATGCTCTATTGTCAAAGTATTTTGCTACTAAATTATCTGATGGGTGAATCTTAAGTATATTTTTAAAAAACAAGTGGTTATGTAAGACCACACTGAAGAATCTTTCATCTACAAATGTTGGCATCTTCCACAAGACAACCATTTGATAGATATTGTTTGTTAATAGGCAGTAGGCATTTGATTTCTTATATTGGTGCATTGGAAATTAGTTTCAAATTTCAGTGAAACTGAAAAAGAACCTTAAGATAAAAAGTTCATGCTACCTATAAGAGTGAAAAATTTTACAATTTATCACTAAAACTACTGTCTATAATGGGTTGAAATGTATCCCAGCAAAAGTACATTTTGAAATCATTCTAACCTCCAGTACCGCAGACTGCAACCTTATAATAGTATGGTTGCAGATATATTGATAATTAGTTAAGATGAAGTCTACTGGAGTAAAGTGGCTCCCTAATCCAATATGACTGGTGTCCTTATAAGAAGAGACAGACACACAGAAGATAGCCAGGTGAAGATCGAGGAAGATATTACAGTTATATTGCCTAAGCCAAGGAATGCCTAGGGCTATCAGAAGCTGGGAGAGGCAAGAAAGGATTCATCTATAGGGACTTCAGAGAGAGTATGGTCCTGCCAACACCTTGATTTTGGACTTCTAGCTTGCAGAACTTGGAGAGAATAAATTTCTGTTGTTTTAAGCCACTCGGTTTATGGCACTTTGTTATGGTAGCCCTAGGAAAACATAGTAACTTAAAACTACAAATACCTAAAACTTGGTGCATACATTTAATATTTAAGGGGACAAATTGGTTCTTATTGCCACAGTCTTTCATGAACAACATATTGACCATACTCTTTCCAGTTACTGTTTCCTGTTCTGGCTCTACTGCACTTTCCTTCAGTCAGGCTTTAATCATCATCTTGTCTTTGGTAATAAACTGGCTCCAGTACTATCTATGTGTGGTACTATGTGTATATGATACAGTTAAAGTATGGCTAGTGGTCCAACAAGGAATGATACTTGACAATAAAATTAGGAAAAAGTTCTACTACCCAACCTCTGTTCTCTCTAAAGTACTCTCTTGCCTTTTTTTTTTTTTTTTGTAAAGAGACAGGGTCTCACTTTGTTGCCCAGGCTGGAGTGCAGTAGTGCAATCATAGCTCACAGCTCAAACTCCTGGGATCAAGTGATCCTCCCACTTCAGCCTCCCAAGTAGCTGGGACTACAGGTGGTTGCCACCACATCTGGCTCCTCTTGTCTTTTCTGTGTTCTACTTTATCTCCCACTCTGATACACTAGGCCTCCACTCCTACAAAGATATTTGAAGGCATAATCAGGCTGCATACTTCAACTAGTGGAACATTTGTTACCCGGGATTCTAATAAGGTTAATTTATTAAATATCTATTGAGTTGCCAGATGTTTTGGATTCACAGTGAACAAAGTCCCTACTCTCTTGGAGTTTTCATCCAAGTGGCATGAGACAAAGTTGATAAATAAGTAAATTACATAGTGTGCCAAAGGTGGAAAATGTGCTAGAAGAGACAGTGTTGTGGGGTTGGATGTGCTCGGTGTGCTGCAAGTAAGCTAGTATGGTCAAGATATCATGAGAGGGTGATATTTAAACAAAGGAAAGGGAGTGAGGGAGCCGGCCATGAGCAAAGACCCTGAGAGCATGCTTGGCATGTTCCAGGGACTGTAAAGAAGCCAGTGTGGCTGCAATGGAGAATAATGAGACAAAGTCAGAGAGGGGTGGGGAAACTCTGGCTTTGACTTTGAGAAAAACTGAGAATCACACTAGAGGGTCTGTTTAGATTAAGGATTTATTGAGGAATAAGTGCTGGCTGTTCCTCTCCACCACAGCAGAAGGGTCATATGCCTGAGCTCGTGAGGCTTGATAAGGAACAGGTGGCTGATTCTGCCTTCTACGAAGTTGTTCTATTTTAAGCCTAAAGATACTTCAGTACTTACGAGGTATCTTGTGTATATTACACGTATGCAATGTAAATGCAGTACTATGAAATTTGAAAGTTTCCAGGTAGATGGGACACTAGTACTTTTCTACTTTTCATGTGAATAAAACAGAACACTGTTGTAAAAATCTCTGACCGTAACTATTAGGAGTAGGTCATGTAGTTCACTTTCTATAGCATGCATCTTAATACTTTGTATAAAGTGACAGATACAATATATATCTTTTAACATCAGTTGAAGTAGACATAACCTGGCAATTTTCTTTCCTATACCTTAAATACGAATTTCTTACCTATTGTCTTTGATTGGAGATTTTCACTAGTTAGTTGATTAAAAATAGATTCTGCTGCCAAAATTCCACTTTTCATTGCTGTGTGGGTACCTTTGATCTTAGGAACATTCAGGAAACCAGGGCTACAACCAATTAGCAAACCACCAGGAAAGGTGAGTTTTGGTATAGACTGAGGAAAGAAAGATTCAGAATACATTTATTAGCTCAAATTAAATAAGCAAAACTGAATACTTCAAATCACAGCCTCTTAATAAGTCTTCTAGAGCTGTAGGGAAAGGTTGAAAAACATACGAAAATGAATACAGCAAAGGAAAAAACAGAGCAGAGCAGTTTTCTTTTTCCTCCCCTAAAAGTGAAGATTGGGACCATTACTGATTTTTTTTTGTTAAGAGTTTTTCCTTTTCCCTCCCAGACTGACCTACATGGGATAGATTTAAGATTAAAGTATCAACTTATTTTGAATAAAATGTTTTTATTTATGCATATCCATATCATAGTTAAAAACAGTCTCTAAACTTGAATGACTGTTACCTAAACTATTATGTAAATCAAAACCACAATGAGATATCATCTCACCCTAGTTAGAATGCTATTGTCAAAAAGGCAAAAAATAACATGCTGGCTAGGATAGGGAGGAAAGAGAACTCTTAGACATTGTTGGTGTGAATGTAAATTAGTACAGCTATTACAGAAAACAGTATGGAGCGTTCTCAAAAAATTAAAAATAGAACTACCATACAATCCAGCAATAGCACTAGTGGGTATATATTTGAAGGAAGGAAAAACAGTATGTTGAGATATCTGCACTCCCATGTTTACTGCAGTGCTGTTCATAATAACCAAGATAATGGAATCAACCTAAGTGTGTAGCAACAGATGAATGGATAAAGAAAATATGGTACATAAACACAATGGAATACCATTCAGCCATAGAAAAGAATGAAATTCTGTTATGTACGGCAAATGGATGAACCTGGAGGACATTATGTTAAGCGAAATAAGTCAGGCACAGAAAGGTATACACCACATGTGCTTACTCACATGTAGAAGCTAAAAAAAAAGTTGGTTTTATAGAAATAGAGAGTAGAATAGTGGTTACCAGAGGCTGGGAAAGGTGGGAGGATAGGGAGAGGGTGGTTAACATACAAACTTATAGCTAGATAGGAGGAGTATGTTCCAGTGTTCTATAGTAGCACTGTAGGATGACTACAGTTAATAATTTATGGTATTTTTTCAAATAGCTAGAAGAGAGGATTTTGAATGTTACCAGCACAAAGAACTGATAAGTGTTTGAAGTTATGGATATGCTAATTACCCTGATAATTACACATTGTTTATAGGTATGAAAATATCATACTGTAACCCCCCACAAAAAATTAAGTGGTCCTGAAAATTAAAAGGGCATTAAAAAATTGTGATTTGCTTTTACATGCATCCTGGATAATAAATTACTTATAAAAGATACTATATATCCTTTTTATTTTAGTTTGGTATCAGGGCTGGAAACCTATGATCTAATCACAGCATCACTACAATTAGCTACCATCCCAAACAATATTATTTTGATTAACTTAAGAATAAGTTGGATTTCCAAAATAAATTTTAAGACAGTTGTCTGGACTTCAGTATTCATTCTGATGAAAAAAAATGTAATAAAGGGTGGCAGTATGCTTCAGTTTAGCCATCAAAAGTCTATATAGAGCCCACAATGTAGCAACTGAACTAAAGATTGCACTATATAGTCTGAAAAGAAAAGGAAAGAGTCAATGCAGAGTTTTTCTTTTCTTGTTTTGTACTTTTTCTTCTCTAAGGGCTTCCTAAAGTAAGCCATGGATCTTTGTTGAGAAGGTGGTGGGGTAGTAAAAGTTTGGCTGATGATGAGAGGGACTCAGAGGAGTGGAGGCTAACAGGAGAACTACTGCCATCAGCTGCAAGAGACACAGCGAGCACTTTGTGGCTGTAGCTCTCATCAGTGATGGAGTTCTAACCGCGAGGGAAAGGTGGCGAGAAGCAAAACTCGGGGTAGGAGGCCAGGCAGAAGGAATGCTGGTAAGAGAGAAGGATCAGGGACCAGGTCCTCTGACAGGATATGTGGGGAATGAATTTAAGACTGTGGTTCTCAGACCAAACTCAACATTCGAACCACCTAGATAAAAAAGCATTAAATCAGGATCACAGGGCAGACAATGGGGAGAAAGAGCCTTCTGGAATGCTACTAGTTGAAAACAGATAATGGTTAGGAACTTGGACAATGACAATGATTTTCTCAAAGCTGTGGCTTTGTTGACACATAAGTTTGATTCAAGAACCAAAAGAGTATAAAGTTTAATAAAAGGATACAGATTGTTAGTTCGAGTTTTTCCAAAACAGGTGCTTCAATCCAAAGAATAAAACTGTTATAGTCCAAGGAAAATGCACGTTTTTAAGTTCTAGAAGGATCCTAACCAGAGTGGGCAAGGTTACAGGCAGATGGACATCTTGTTAGGAAACAAAGGACAAAGGAAAACCCATGCTGCGAAACGTATTTTGGGACAGTCATTAAACTATGGTTACAAGTAATTAGAAATCCACTAGGAAAGATGAGTTTTGGTATAGACTAAAGAAAGAGAAAAGTCAGATAATACTTGTTAGCTCAAAATAAACAAAATTGAATGTTCCAAGTTACTACCTCTAAGGTCTTCAAAAACTTCCTGGAAATAAGTTTCTAAACCTTCAACTAATTAAATCAGAAAATTCAAATAAAAAGGGTGTGTGTGTGTGTGTGTTCATCTTCCTTCCAATCTGCAAATTATCTTAGATGTTGAAGTGCACAAGGCAGATGTTTTAAATAAAAATCTGTATGTACTATTCAATATACTGAAATCTTTATACTATAAATTACAAACAGTAGAATTAGATGGATAGTATGTATTATGGACATTATTCAAACAAGTTTAATAGGCTATAAGGTATGCAATTCAATATATATTCTACCAAGTGAATTACTATTCTAGAAACAAAACCTCACGAGAAGTAATCCCATAACAACAGAATTTAGGGACAATGTTATTTTAAGATTCTAGTGATTACGATTTTACTTGACTTTATGAAATACTGCTATAGTAATAAAGTCTTTAGAACTTTACTTTTAAGGTTGTCAGCTTCTCCTCCCTCACCATTTTTCTATTATGTATTTGTTACTTTCATAAAAATCCAATTTCTAAAATAGTCCTAGATTCCTAAAGAGACAAAGGATCATCTTTACTTTACAGATGATCCCTTAGGGCCAGAAGAATTAAGTAACTTGCTCCAAAGCATTTAGTGTAAGTTTTACAGCTGATTTTTAGATCATCTTACCTGTCTGATATTATTTCTACAATGGTACTATCAGCTTTCATCATAGCTATCTAGGTCTTATTTCATTGTTTAATTAGTACATACTGAATACATAAACTACATTTGCTAAGATTCATTTTGAACATATACTAGAGTAGGACAATTAAGGTAAAGCTTAACAGAAGCCACCTAAAAGGTAAGAAAGTTACTAGGTAGTTGGGATGAATTAATTACATTTGCTGAAAATCAAATTTTCTTTTGAGTTTCCTGGTAGTTAAGAAATAAAGGGAAATATCTTAGATCATACAGTTTTTATTTTCTAGTTGAAAACAAACCAACCAACAAACAAAAAGTCCATGAATTTATCTCTAGAGATCAATATATTAAATCAATGGTGTAATTTAAGTTCTGTGTGACATGTTTTTATAAACACTAGATACTTTGCTTAAATTCCTTAGATTTTCTTCCTATGAGATAATATTCCATTTTTTTTTTCAGAGACAGGGTCTCACTCTGTCACCCAGGCTAGAGTACAGTTTCACAATCATAGCTCACTGTAACCCCAAAATTCTGGGCTCAAGCAATCCTCCTGCCTCATCCTCTTGAGTAGCTAGGACTACAGGCATGAGCCACCACACCTGGCCAACTTTTTAAAAATTATTATTATTTTTTGTAGAGATGGGGTCTCGTTATGTTATCCAGATTGGTCTCAAACTCCTGGGCTCGAGTGATCCTCTCTCCTTGGCCTCCCAAAGCACTGGGGTGTGAGCCACTGCACCCAACCTAATTTTCTATTCCTTACCTAAATTTGTTATATTACATTTTGAATTCTGAATTTATACTAAGAATGGGAATACAAACGTTGGAAGAGTTACCTGAAAGCCACCTTCATTGAGAGCTCTGGCTCCATATGCAATCCTTTTTCCACCTTCCAATGTTGGCCGAATACTGGGATGGTGTTTCCATCTCTGGAACTCTCTGAATGGACTCAGGTATGGGTTTTGATAGTCTAGGCCAACCTTAAAATTTTATATTTAAATTTGATATAGTTACACAATCAGACATTTTAATTAAGAATTATATCAAGGTAAAATGTGAGAAACGTTTATCAGAAAACATGTTAAATTTTGTGTACTCAAAGTATTTGGACCAATTATGCACTAATGCAAATTTAAATAAAAAATATATAAAGTCTATTTGGAAAGAAAGGGTAAAGAAAAGGATACCATGTGTTTATAATCAGCAGAATTTTGAAAATTTAGATCACATTAATAAATCATTGTGCTCTGAAGATCAAAGTCCAAATTAAAAAATATCTGTAGGTAAGTATTTTAGATTATGTTTCTACAAAAGGATTTGTAAGGATTTATTATACATTTATCAATACCAATTCTAGAAATAAACTAATAATCTATACTACAGTACTACTGGGCAAAAACGAAGAAAAAGGACATAAATCACACTTAGAAAAAAAGAAGACAAGAAATGTAGAATGTTGTTTTACAAGGCATTACCAAAGTGCTAAAATTAATAACCACACATTTTTCCTTTGATAAGATTAAGTCACTGGAATAACTACCCAAAGGTGATGCAATGAATACTTGACTTGGGGGTCAAAAAACACCAATAATGCACAAGTTTAACAATGTGTCATATAATAGTCTAACCATAACACTAAACTACAATAAAGCTGCCACCAGTTGCAAGGTGCAGAAACTTACATTATTTTTCTATTCTTCGTAGTGTTCAAGATGTAATTTACTGCCAAAAAAGGGGAAACTGCTTGTGTTTTAAAAAAGTTTTAAGTTCAAACCCAGTGCTGATTTCATTTTCAGTGGCAGCATGCTACAGTGGAAATGGGCTTTGAAATCAGACAGGTTCAGGCATTTCTGCCTGTCATTTAATGTATGTATCCGGGAAAGTTGTTTAGCTTACTTCTCATCAGTAAAATAAGGAAAAATAAGGATACCTATTTCATAGGATTGTTATGAAATTTACTTACAAATCTCAGTAAAGCATCTAGCTGGTGCCTGGAGTATAGTAGCTACTATTACTAGACCTATGTATATTTAGTAGACTAATGACTATAACAGCCATAAGCGATTTACATATCATATTGATAAAATTAGAAAGTAAGGTTTAAATGAAAAAAATTTTACATTCTCCAGATTCAAAACCCTCATTTTATAACACTGACGATCCTATAACTCTAACAGTAGAATTTTCCATAATGGGAATATAACTTACCACAAGACCAAGAGCTACTAGTGGTTCACCTTCATTTAAATGATAAAGGAAAGAGCCTCCATAAGTATGTCTGTCCAGGGGCCAGCCAACAGTGTGATCTACTCTCCCGGGTTTCCACTTCTTTTCATCAATAATCCATAACTAAAACAAAAACAAAAACAAATCCTGTAATATTTTTAAATGTTTTTATGTCACCGCAATGCATACAACTTGCCAGGTTTAATGTCTTATTTATGAAAATTTTAAGTGAAAAACTGTAACATGAGAAACACAAGAAATTATTTCATATCAAAGAAAATTACATCAAACTACAACGAGTTGGAGCAAAGAAACGGGTCAGAAAAGTTATGAAATCTTTAAGACATTAATTAGATCCTCAAATTGGTAAGACTTTCATGCCATTACAGGAAACATCACCGAAAAGAAGAGGAAAACTTCTGAGGTACTGTAGTGTTCTGTCTTCCTCTGGGAGGTAGCTACACGGGGGTGTTTACCGTGTAAAAATTCACTCAGCTATACACTTAAGATCTGTTACTTTATAATACATATGTAGTCTTTAGTAAAATAGTATATACCCTCCTATTCTTCAATAAAATAGTTTGCCCCCCAAAATTGAAGCAAATTGTTCATCCTATTTTCAGACTTATAAGTTTAAAATTTTAAACAATTTCTATCTGAAATATTATCTAAAAATCAGATAATATTATGTGCAATCTACCAAAAGAAGCCTTTATTCACAATATAATGAATCTAGTTATAT